CTTGTTGGGTTTCTAAATGACGATTATAAATTCTATAGGAGAAAAATTACAACAGAATTGATAAATATATAGACATAGGTCAAGTTTACACCTGATCGAAAATAGTTTTTTTTTAAATGCAGTTCACCCTGTACAAAACGCAAGAGCCACTCGAGCTAGAAGGTTACAGAATAAGAGGCACTGTTTATGCGGATATATGGGGAAGATAGACTTGGACAGGTTAAAATTATAGTGATCGGTAAAGCATCCCCTTGGGAGACGGTTCCACAAAGCAGCAGTTCGTTAGAATAAGCTTCTAGAGTGGAACTCAGTCCTAACCGATGGAATAAGAAGCGAATGAAGGTAGTTCTCTACAATGTGCATGGTATGACAGGTCTTAGTCGTGAAGGTTAGCTGTAGGAGAACTAAAGAATGTACTTTGTCTGAAGCTTACAGCACCTGGTATTTAATGATTAAAATAACAAATACTTAATGAAAATGCAATATTGTTTTTTGCATATCTTTTCTCTAGGTTTTTATATACAAGAATCCAGTTTCTACTTGGTTCTGCATTTGCGAGAACTATATACAAATCTCAAGGCTCTTCAAAAAGTTAGAATTTTACTCCAGAAAGAAATACTTAGGAATAACCAGTTGTATGTTGCATGCGTAAGAGTAAGAAATTCTAAGAATTTATTCTTCGCTGGTAAAAAGTAAAAAAAAAGAAGTGAAGTACTATAAAATTCGATTAAATTAAAGAAATTATTAAACCGCGAAGTAGGGGTTTTCTTAAAGTATTTTTTTCCAAACAACAGCTTATTCAAATTTAATCAATTGTTTTACGAAATTGAACGAAACGTATGTTTTGTCAATCTCGACAAAAATGTTAGTGATAATGAATATTAAATACTGGAGCGGTACAACGAATCGAACATTTTTCCAGAATCTTTATCGATGGACTAGCAGCATGGCCCGGCGTTGCCCGTGCTTGATTAAAAAATCGTACGACTCATACAGCAATCGCTATCACTTGACTTAAAATATTTTTGCCCATCCTTGCCTTTAAAGGAGTGCCCTTTGCCGTACTGAGGTTGCTACATGCCTTACTTCTTGCCTATTCTGCGAATTTTTTCTAAGCTCTATACTAAACATTAAATCTGTTACGAAAAAAGAACTAAAAATGAACACAAAACGATCAGCTTTATAAAAGGACTCGTAACTGGAAAAACCGAATGAAGAAAGATTGTTAACAACAAATACTTTTTCACACCCAACCCGCGGAATCAGAATCAACGTTGAGTTTAAGCAAGCTAATGAACCAATTGGAGTAAAGTGTCATGCAGATTTAAATTTTTCCCACTTGTGTCGAATGTAGTTATCGATTTTTTTTTTGCATGCTAGTTAACATTCGGGCCAGTCAGCTGTTAGCTCTCACGCTGGCCAATAGAATCTTCCTGCCTATTCGTGCCAGCCAAGTATTGGTTCTCACTCTGGCCAGTAGAAAATGGCCGCAAACTACATGAAAACTGCCGTAGAAGCATGAAAAAATCGATTATTTCCACTACCGAGGGGAGTTGGAAAATGCAATGTCGGTGTTGGCCTTCCCGCTAACTTGGAGCATGTGCATGTAAATTTTGGTGCAAATCAGTCGAAAATTGCGGCCGTGCATTCGTTACACACACACATCCTACCTTTCATATGCGCGAGTTCTACTTGAGGTCTGGGTCGATTTCAAGTCCCAAGAGGCGCCCAAGACACGGGACCACCCAATGAAAACATCCGTACATCGTGATCAGGTGAAAATTCTGACTCTGTTTAGTGATGATAGAACATTACTCAGTCTTATTGGTATTTGGGCAAAAAGGGCAAATATTGATCCGTTTTATACCCGAACCTGGAAGTATTCCTCCGAAGGATGGCCGCTTTTTTGGGGGCGGGGGATCTAACCCTTCAGCAAGGAATGCAGACAAAGTAATATATATTTAAACACTTTTCGATATACAAAAGTGTATGTGAGCATATTTGTGGCTTTAAATGTCCTCAGTGTGCATTATCTTTTTTTTTTTTTTTTGATTGAGTGATTCGTTCTCTATAGCCTATTGCAGGTTATTTAAAACCAGGATAATAATGGTTTAGTGATACAAGTCTTTTTTTAAGCAGATCGCCCCAATAAAGTGGGGAGTGCTACTAGCACGCAAGGTCTTACAGAGAGTGAAAGTCAGAGGAAATAAGAGTGTTTGAGAAAAGGATAAAGAGAAGGACAGGGGTCAAGGTCATGGCATCAGAAGATGTCGATTGACATTACATTTGAATATTTGAAGATTATAGCTATCAGGGACGCAAGTGATAGGAAGCGAGTTCCATTGACGGAAGTTGCGAAATAAGAAGCTGTTGGAGTAGAAGTGATAGCTACATTTAGCCATTTCGACAGCGAAAGGGTGGGACCGAGATGCCAACCTAATAGCACGCTTAAATTCATGCAATTTGGGAACCAATGAAATTATCTCGTCGGAGCAGTTGCCATGAAAATACTTGTAGAAAAGACAGAGGGAAGCCACAGCACGTCTGTGAGATAGCGACTGCAGACGAGATGCCAGATCAGGACCAACCACGTTGCATATCCGTCTCTGGATTTTGTCGTGGACCTCGAGATGAACAGCGCGAGCAACCGACCATATATCGCACCTGTATTCCATGCAAGGATGAATGGTTGATTTGTAGATTTGAAGGTTGGATTCAACCGAGAAAAACCTTCTGGCGTAACACAGAGGGCCAACTTTCCTTGCAGTAGATGAAGCCATAAATTCAATGTAGTTCTTCGATTTAAGGTCAGCGTGAGAGCAAGCAGGCGTAGGGAGGCGCTCTCGTAGAGTTGGCCCTCAGCCAGCCTGATAGGTGGCAGGGAGGGTTCTCTATGGTGGGTAAGTGTGAGCAGTTTCGTTTTAGAGGCATTAAAGTTTACAAGCCATTTCCTGCCCTAGTCAATCAGAGATTGGATGTCCTTTTCGAAGCCTACGGCCAGGTTAGTTTTGTAACAAATTAATCCATAGCTGGAGGTAGAAGAGAAGGATTTTCCAAGAGTATTTTCGCGTAATCACTTACGAATATGACGATACCAACGGGAATTGGAACTCACTGATTAACAACTCCGAGCAATTGAAGCTTAGAGCATATGGTACTCCCAAGCGGTTACCAATGACCAGACTTGATGTTGCTTAACTTCGGTTATCGTACGGGAACTGGTGTTTGAACATGATGTGGCCGTAAGCCAATGTGCATTATCGACTCAAATTAGAAGGAATGATAAACTCTAATGATGACAGAAAAAGGAGGGGAAATATTTTACGTGACAAAGAGAATAGAAAATGGCTGACGAGAGAGATAAGTGAAACTTTAGAGACAATGTAGGGAAGAACAAAAATAGAGGAAATTAAAGAAAAATGAAATAAATGGAAAACAAATAAAAAGAAGTAAAGAAAGACAGAAATAAATAAAGGGCAAATAAGATAGAAATAATGAGAAAGAAAGAAAGAAAGAAAGAAAGAAAAAAGAAAGAAATATAGAGCAAATAAAAAAGATAAAGAGAGATAAAAATAAAGCGAAATCAAATAAATTAAACCAGATAGATAAAAAAGGAAAGATAAAAAAAGGGAAGAAAATCAGAAAAATAAATAAATAAATAAATAAAGAGCAATTAAGATATAAATAATGACAGGGAATTAAGAGAGAAAGAAAGAAAGAAGAATGAAATATGGAACAAATAAAAATATAAGGAGAGTTAAAAAGAAAAAGAGATCAAGTAAATTAAACTAGATGGATAAAAAAGAAAGAAAATTGGAGGAAAATCATAAAAATCAAGAAAGAAAGAAAAAGCAAATAAGATATAAATAATGCCAGAGAAGAAAAAAAGAAAGAAACGGAGAGAGAAAGGAAAAAAGAAAGAAAGAAGAAATAAACATAGAACAAAATAAAGAGATAAAAAGACAGAGAAATCAAATAAATTACAGCAGATAGATAAAAAAAGAAAGAAAAAGGGAAGAAAATCAGAAAAATAAAGAAAGGAAGGAAGAAAGACATAAAGAAAGAAAGAAAGAAAGAAAGAAAGAAGGAAAGGAAGAAAGAAAGAGCAAATAAGATATAAATAATGACAAAGAAAGAAAGAAAGAAAGAAAGAAAGAAAGAAGAAAGAAAGAAAGAAAGAAAGAAAGAAGGAAAGGAAGAAAGAAAGAGCAAATAAGATATAAATAATGACAAAGAAAGAAAGAAAAAGAAAGAAGGAAAAAGAAAGAAAAGCAAATAAGATATAAAAATGACAAAGAAAGAAAAAGAAAGAAAGAAAGAAAGAAAGAAAGAAGGAAAGGAAGAAAGAAAGAGCAAATAAGATATAAATAATGACAAAGAAAGAAAGAAAGAAAGAAAGAAAGAAAGAAAGAAGGAAAGGAAGAAAGAAAGAGCAAATAAGATATAAATAATGACAAAGAAAGAAAGAAAGAAAGAAAGAAGAAAGAAATATAGAACAAATAAAAAGATAAAGAGAGATAAAATGAAAGAGAAATCAAATAAATTAAAGGAGATAGATAAGAAAAAGAAAGAAAAAGGAAATAAAATCAGAAAAAAAGAAAGGAAGAAAGAAAGAAAGAAAGAAAGAAAAAGGAAAGAAAAAGCAAAAAGATATAAAAATGACAAAGAAAGAAAGAAAGAAAGAAAGAAAGAAGAAAGAAATATAGAACAAATAAAAAGATAGAGAGATAAAATGAAAGAGAAATCAAATAAATTAAAGGAGATATATAAGAAAAGAAAGAAAAAGGAAATAAAATAAAAAAAAAAAGGAAGAAAGAAAGAAAGAAAGAAGGAAAGAAAGAGCAAATAAGATATAAATAATGACAAAGAAAGAAAGAAAGAAAGAAAGAAAGAAAGAAGAAAGAAATATAGAACAAATAAAAAGATAGAGAGATAAAAAGAAAGAGAAATCAAATAAATTAAACCATATAGTTAAAAAAAAAAGGAGAAACGGAAGAGAATCAGAAAAATAAAGAATGAAAGAGCAAATAAGATATAAATAAAGTCAGAGAAGAAAGAAAGAAAGAAAGAAAGAAAGAAAGAAAGAAAGAAAGAAATAAAGAACAAATAAAAAGATAAAGAGAGATGAAAAAGAAAATCAAATAAATTAAACCAGATAGATAAAAAAGAAAGAAAGAAGGGAGAAAAATAAGAACAATAAATAAAGAAAATAAAAATAGAGATAAAAGAAGGCAAAAAAAATTCCAGTTGAAAATAAAAGGAACTACAGCAAATGCAAAAGGAAAGAAAGAGAGAGAACTGAAATGAAAATGGGGAAGGAGAAAACATTAAAAAATAGTAGAGGAAAAAAGAAAAGCTAAAAAAAAAAAAAGAAAGACAAGAGGAAAGAACAAGAATAATGACGAGAAAGTTCGCAAGAAAAAATGCCGAGAAAAGAAAGAACCATGAACGTAAATGAATGAGCGAATGAAGTAATGAATTTAGGGAGGAAAAAGGAAGGAAGGAAGAAAGGAAGGCAAAGAGGAAGGAAATGCCACCGTAATGGAGGAAGGAAAGGACAGTTCCGCGTTGCGTACCTTATCCGTTCACTCCCAATTTACCGCCCTTAAATTTCGCGCCACTCTATTCACGTCACTTTACTGTTTCCCGCCAAAATCAGAAAAGTGGATGGCGTGCGATTTCTCTCATGCCGGACATAACAGGTTCGTTAATTCCACCCAACGCTAGACCGAGAGAGATAAGACGACAATAACAGGATCTTAGGTTTCAAGGAACTCCACAAAATTAGTGTTAATACAAACAGAGACAGTGCAAAACAATCAATATGACATTTATACCATACTGTGATAAATTTAGTTTTTCTTTTGATTATCAATTGTAGTAAGACTTGATTTTTCTACTGTAAAAATATTCGTAATCTAGCGATATTGAAAAAAAAATGACGTAATTTATATTTTTATATATTGTTATTATTTCAGATGCGCAGGCGCAGACGTAATACGCCATGTTTACAAAAACATTGCTATCTATTAAAATTAACGTTTGAGGTATTAAAAATGTCAGTACACAGTCTGATTGGTTTTTTACAACACTTGTACGCGCATTTCTACTTAGTGTACCCTCATGTGCACTGCACACACATCACTTTTCAGCCAGCCACGCTAGAAAGTAACTTTGGTCAATTAATCATCACTAGTATATGAGAAGATAATCAAGCCGTGATAAACTGTAGAAAATGAAAATTATCACTTGTTCTTATGGAGTGACAAAAGATGACGGTGGTGCAGAGAATGATGACACACGTTTAAATGATAAACGTAGACTAAGCAGCGATTCAAGAGACGCCTAGCGACCGGTACTGTAAATAGTGGCTGGGTGCGTTTTCTTTTGTTTCTCTCAACCGTTGATTGGGACAAGGGCTGTGTAACGATTATAAATGTTTATTTTTATCTGACCCTCACGGACCACCTGAAACCAATCCATGGACCCGAAGTTAAGAGCAATAAAAGCGATACTTACAGAATATTTCTTTTTCTTATATATGTGTTTGATTCACATTGAACCTTTTATACTTATGGTTCGAGTGATACAAGTGTTTTTATGCCATGTTCTTTCAGGGTTTAGGTGGTCATTACTCTCAGTAGATTTCTGGGAATTACGATGACCTCTTGGAAAATAGGGAAAAATGATTTCCCGGCACCTTCTCCAAGGTTTTGAATTCAGTTGTTCGTTTAGAATAGCGGTTACTAAATTGCCAGCCTAACAAATACCGAAGGTAATAACCGTGGAGTAATAAATAACAAATTCGTTTAACAGATAAGAACGATTGTTTTGAGTTCAATCCCAATTATGGCCTAAGTAAATATTCAGCATAGCTATTTGGTTATTATTGGTTTGTTGTGTAAATATCTATCTTGTGTATTTCGCTTTGTTGTGGATACATCAATTATAGATAAATTTTCGTATAAATATCCACATTCATATTTGGTTTGTCGTATAAATATCAATTAATTATTTTGTGTAAATTTCTAGGTATGCTGTTAAGAAAGTTGGTTCCCTGTGCCATGCGAGACAATTTTTCTCGTCCTAATCTATCTTACATATTTATAAGTATCACTCGTCCTTGCTATGTATATTGCTGCCACATATCATCTGTTTCTCCTGCTATATATTTAGAAATCCTTGATAACAGCCAACAAAAGAATCTACAACGTCATTTGTCCTGAACTGGCATCTCGGTTTCATTTACTTTCTCGCCGTCGTAATGTCGTTTCCCTGTGCTTTTGCTTCTTTTTTTTTTTTATAAATTCTTTCATGGTAAGTGTTTTTGATGAACTTTCTTTTATGATACCCAGACTTTATGAATGTCTGAGTTTAAATCGTTGTTAATCGTTATCTTCTCTCTTCTTGTTCTTTTATTATTATCTCTCCTTAATACTGATTTTCTTTTTCTTATATTCTTTCACATTCAGTAACCCCTGAGTCTTAGTTTATATATATATATATATATATATATATATATATATATATATATAGGGTGCGATAAGTAAAATGTCACCATTTTATATTTTTAAGTTCGCGCATGCGTGTTCTTTGCTTTTGATTTTTGTAAACGTCATAATGTACTGCTGGACATTCGCGCCAAAATTTTCTCTTATTAATACTGATTTTCTTTTTCTTATATTCTTTCACATTCAGTAACCCCTGAGTCTTAGCGGCTTTATATATATATATATATATATATATATATATATATATATATAGGGTACGATAAGTAAAATGTCACCATTTTATATTTTTAAGTTCGCGCATGCGTGTTCTTTGCTTTTGATTTTTGTAAACGTCATACTGTACTGCTTGACATTCGCGCCAAAAGCTTCAATACGAATATTTCAGATTGTTTTGGGTGTCAATCCAGAGGATTCGGAAAGAGATGGGTCAGTCTAATAGTGATTAGCAGATGGGTGGTCGTTCTGATAAGAAAAGATCCAAATTTATTGGTGACGGCCTCAGACGCAACAGAACTCTGCACAATGCCACTGAAGCAGGAGAACTCAAGTCATGGCTGCTGGAAGATCAATGTCTGGCAACAGAACTCTGCACCCAAAGAACTCAGTTTGGCATCTGACAATTTCTTTACCAAATCACCCCAGACTGCAAACTCCCCAGACTGCAACCCACTTGATTATTATTTGTGGGGTGCAGTTCAGCGAGAGACCAACAAAACGCCTTGTAACACTAAAGATGCTATATAAATATATTGTTATATATCTACTATAGAAATATATACTAATATCTACTATCGAAATACACCTATGAACATTTGATATATAACTGACTTGATTATTATTTGTGGGGTGCAGTTGAGCGGGAGACCAACAAAACTCCTTGTAACAGTAAAGATGATCTGAAGGCAAGGATTATGGCAGTATTCACCAACTTAAACAATAAGTCTGTCCAGAAGAGTTGCAGGAGATTTCGAAGTCGCCTGGAGACCGTGTTTGAAGCCAATGGCGATTTTATTGAATAAACTTACTCTTTCCAATTTCAAGATATTTTGTGTAAATTTAGTAAATATATCTTAAAAGCTTAGACGACAATTTATGCATCGCATCCTGTGTATATATATATATATATATATATATATATATATATATATATATATATATATATATATATAGGATGCGATGCATAAAGAGATCTAAATTACCTAAAAATGAAAATAACAGACATCTCATATATATATATATATATATATATATATATATATGTGTGTGTGTGTGTGTATGTCGTATATGACGTTTTGTCGTAATATATATTTTGTTTTATCGTGTAAATATCATGTTTTGCCGTTTAAATATCTATGATATATATTTTGTTATTTATGTAAATATCGATTGTCTGTGTTTAGCTTTGTCGTGCAAATATCTATAAGATATATTGTCGTTTAAATGTTTTGTTTTTTTTTGTAATTCAAATATCCATCGTGGATTTATTTAAGAGTTCTTATGCTGCAAGTTGAAATGCTCTGCTTATCTGTTTTTGAAAGCATGATTAGAAAGGTTTTATTTAGATTAAAAGACATTGCTCCATTTTTTGACCAGATACTTAAACCAAATCGTATTTTCTTTCTCTTACCCCTTTCCGCTTTGTTGCTGATCCCAAGACCCCATAAATAAATGACAACCTTAGTGACGTCCTTAGAAGAATAGGAATGAGATCGTAAAATTATGTCCCAGTCATGGGTAAGAGATTGAATAAAGGATTGACACTGATCATATTATTCGGGGTTTTATTTCATTTCTAGCCAAACAATATGACCCAGTCTGTCACAGGAAGGCGTTGGTACCAGAAATTGAACTTTTAGCTCTTCTTTGTGATTCTGTAGTCAGCAGTTAACGACAGAATGTTTTTGGAACCTGAATGACTAAAAGGTACCGTAACACAAGAATAATAGCGTCAGATTTCTGTAAAAACATTTTGCCTTAATATTTTGCCTACTGAATATACAATAACAATAATCCATACCTTAAATTCCACAATCCATTAGAACAATAATAATAATAATGCAAGAAGAAGAAGAAGAAGAAAAAATAACGCTGATATCAGTGAACGAACTTTGATTTTTTTTTCTTGAAGAATGCATGTCGTATTTTAAAAGGGAAGTCTTGATTATTTTAATTATCCTTTTATTCCGATATTTTCTTTATTTATTATAATTTTTATTATATTATTATGCATTTTTATAATTTTTAATTATTAAAATTATAATTATATATTTGCTTATTTTTTTAAGATAAGCCGTGTTATATATGAATTATTTTATTTAAAAATAACTGTTATTTAACAAGTTTTTATATATATATATATATATATATATATATATATATATAAAGAATAATCACACATAGAATTAATCAGAAGTATTAATGCGTTTATTGGCGACATCCATCGCTAGAAAACATAATATATGCATTAAAATCCTGTTCATTCATAGTGCGAGTTTTGATCCTTGAAGAAAAACTTGTTGTCTGTAGTTTTTCAGTTTATTTGATGTTAAAATGCTAGTACTTACGGATAGTCTTCCATCCATCATCAGGCATGTGTTTTTTTTCCTTATAAAATCAAAAACTTGACGATTGAGACGATATATCTGTATGTCGACCGAAAGATGTTTTTTGAATGTCTGCTATTATTGACGGTTGTGTAAGATCTCGGAACGTGCAAAGACGCAACGCTTAGTTTTTCAAAATTTCAAAAGTGAGAATTTTATTTAAATATTTCTTATGATGTGTTAAATCCACGTATTCTATTTTTACAAGTGTATTCAGTTTTTATGTCATGAACTAAGTATATAGTTCAATAATAATCTCCTGATTAATTCTATGTGTGATTATTCTTTGTATGTAAATCATATGCTGCCTAATGTTTTATGTTTATTAAAAACTATCGATCCGCAGTACATAAAAAATTCCTATAAAAAAACTACTACTAAGACATTACACTATATTATTGAACTATATACTTAGTTCACCATTATTATCACCAAACCGAAACATCGGAGAGAATCCCAAACCATAACGAAATAGAACTAATCCAACACTGGGATCTGCCTAAAGAACTTCAGTTCAATTCTTTTAAGAACGGTTGAAGGGTTTATCGAACTTTTGCTGGTTATTCAAAGCCAGAAAATATTTTTAGATTTTAAGAATATTTGTTTTCTGGAGATAATAATGGTTCAGCGTTATAAGTTTTGCTAATTAACCCATAACTGCGGGAAAACGATATTTGTACTTAAGTATATATATATATATAAATGTTCTTTCTGTTGCTTACCAGATCCGTTCAAGGATTTTTCAGTATTCTTCTGCAGAACTACATTTGATTAAATAATAATAATAATGTTGTTTGATTAGTTCCTCTGAGTAACTAATCCACTAACAGAACATTTCAAGATGAACCCGATCACCATCATGTTACGCACGTTTCAGTTGCATGCCATTTCCGTTGGCTGCGTTTTATTCGTTATGACACATTGATTACCACTACATCCGTTTTCTCAGGATAAGTGACGTTTGTACATAGACTTATAATTTTTGTAGATTTTTTATATTTTTATACTTGTATGCAATTTGTAAACATAACACTGGGATCTGTCTAAAGAACTTCAGTTGAACTCTTTTAAGAAAGATTGGTTGTTTCGTTTTCTAGGGCGTATCATACTTTTTCAGGTTATTTAAAGCCAGAAAATATTCTAGACTGTAAGGACTTTTGTTTTCTGGAGATAACACTGGTTTAGTGATACAAGTCTTACTAATTAACCCATAACTTGGGGGAGAAGAGGATTCATACCTACCACAAGTGTAAGTGTATAAGTGAATATAACGAACCTAACGGGAATTGGAACTCGGCTCTCCGATTAACAAATGAAAGCCATTATCTGTTACACCACCTGCACATCCAAGCTTACAGCGCCTGATATTCCAAAGTGAGCTTGAGTAAATGGATGATGGAACAAGGTTTAGGGGAAATAAAAAGACAAAATATATTAAGAATTACAGGGGACAGGACATTGTGGAAAGTCGTGATCGATAACGTATTGAAAGGAAACGAGAAGAAGAAGAAGAAGAAGAAGAAGAAGAAGAAGAAGAAGAAGAAGAAGAAGGAGGAGGAGGAGGTCACATTCTGACATTAACCCAGCAGTTGCTGTTCTTCGAAACAGTTTATGATTTTTGCTTATCGTTTAGAATCACTGTTAAAACTACGTGGCTTGCACGGTCACGAGTTCCTAACCAATCATGTATGCATCTGTTGGTTATTGCACTCCACATTTGCCTCTGTTGGAGTTTAGGTTTTCCTTTGGAGCTCCATTCCGGTCTTTCATAAGGCCGTTCCCAATGCATTAAAAAAATGAAAAACTATTCATATTTTTATTCATAACGTTTATTTATTTTTCTATTGTTAAGCTAATACAAACCTCAAGAGATCTCAAGGTAGATGTGGTCAAAAGAAATTAGCGACGTTTTGGGACGTAATTTCAGATTGGACGTTGTTTCCCTCTACACCGGTTTCTTGGTATTTATTGTTCTCTTCCCTGTATCCGCTTCGTCGTTCGTTCGTTCCTCCTATCGCAACTGCACGTATCGTACAATGTACCCCGACAGAAACCCCCTCTCACCTCCACAATGGTCTGCTTATAATCGCGAATCACCAATCAGTTGCCCGGATAATAGACATACGGGCACCTCAGAATGGAGCACTAACATACTCGGATGTTCCTTCTCGATTCCATCCAACTACGCTAATATTATGTAAAGTTGCTAATGAACCAATGTCTTGTGGGTCAATAAAGAAAGGTCTCTTTTGACGGAACAATGCACTCGCTTTCTCTCAAACTGGTCCTACATGCCAGACAAAGACGAACTCTCTGTTTTCGAGAGTGAGGCAAGTCTTGTTCAACATTTCTGCCATTCCACTCTGGTTCTGGTTTATTATATCTGCTACAGTAGATGGTTACTAAATGTGGGTGTTGTAAAAGCGTACATGGAGGTAGCAAGTGGTGAATATTATGAGGATATGTAGGATAGATAACAGATTTTAGTAATCTGGGAAGGATCATCTCGGGAGTCAGTTTTGCAGTTCAAGAGTTCGAGAGAAGGCGGCTGTCTCAGTGGAACTTCCTTCTCACCAATGCTATATGAAGGGAATGAGGATGAATTGACGCCATGTGCTTGGTCATGTGTTTGGTCTGGCCGGTCCTAGATGTGAAGATCTGGACTCGTGGAACCAAGAATTATAGTTCGCCCGAGCATCTGTCATGAAACAGAATAGGAGGAGGCTTGCAATTTTTTGTTTGTTGCAAAAGGACTGTAGGATGGAAAGTAATTCATCACCCACAAGGTCGAAGCTGGAAAGTGAGGAATGGACAACCCAGATATGGCAGCAATATTCGAATTTTGGTCTGATATGACTCAAAACAGAGCAAATCACGAAAAGTTAGGTACTTTCTAGAGCAGTGTTTCTCACCTATTTTGAGCTACGACACACCTAGGTGCAAATGAAAATATCAAGGCACACATAGCAATATTTTTAAAGAGCATATTTATAAATGTTATGAAATAAAATCATAGATATTTTTAAATACACATACAAATATGAACTTGTTTTATTTCAATGTTTCTGTTCAACTATTTGTACTTTACTAAGAGTAATCTCTTAAAATGGATGAACGTATTTTATTTAAATTATACACTGAGTGTCGTCTCTTGAACGCATCTGGACTCCATTCCAAATTACGGATCCGCAAAAGTGCAATAAAATATTACTATGAAAAATAACAATTACAGTACACGCTTTATACAAATTTCAGCGTAATATGGTTTTAAAAAATTGGAAAATTATTAAATCAAATGCTCAATGTTGTTTATCGGAAACTTCGAAAATATTAATTCATAATTCAATATAACTATATCTTTGTAGTAAAATTAACTACAATACATTTTTATACTAAAATTACATATTTATATTAAAATTACGAGCAGTATATTTTTATTGTAAATTTACCAACAAAACATTTTTATAGTAAAATTACCGATAATACATATTTATATTAAATTTACCAGCAATATATTTTTTATAGTAAAATTACCAACAATACATTTTTGTATTAAAATTACCATCTATATATTTTTATAGCAAGATTACTCGGAATACATTTTATTAGAAATTTACCAGCTGTACTTTTTATAGCAAAATTACCCGCAATACAATTGTATATAAAATTACCAACAACACATTTGTATCTCAAAATGACCATTGGTACATTTTATAGTAACATTGAAGAGATGGAATACATTATCAAGAAATAAAACAAAATTAACAATTTGCTATGATTAACCTCATTTTATGGAAGGAGAAACAAGTTTTCAGCCACGTTTGGTTTTGTAAGAAATGCAGCTAAGTAATTATAATATAATCATGAAATAATCATGAAATAATGCCATTTTTTCTAATTAATTATTGAATTTTCATATTTAGATTTCGGCATTAAACAACCCATGGAGGTGTTGATATGCCGCTAAACAAAAAACAACCAAACCAAACATTAATAATTTGGGTAAACGTAAATTAAGTGGGTCAGAAGCTATTATTTTTATTTTTGATGAATTTTACGCGAGTCACCGACTCCATGATCTGTGAGATCTGATAAACGGAACAACTGCTTGATCTGACTAAGCTGTAAAACCTGTCTTGCAGTGTTGATAAAGTTACTGCTAGGTGGTGAGGATGGACAAAGGATTAGATTAAAGGATTAAAATCGCGATAAATAGAATCTGCGAGTTGAGTTCAAATTCCGCCTGAGACAGTCCATTCGCACTATGCACTCAGAAAATAGAATAATATGATCACTTCTTCACCCCCCCACGCCAAATGAGAAAATGACAAGGACGAGTGAGAACTCTAGTTTTGGTTAGAAATCAGTGTAGGAGAAGGAAAACTGAATTTAAAACTGTGGAGAAAGTAAAAGTAGAACACGCAATTTTCTTTCCCAATGCCAATCAAGACAATGTGCAGTTTACAGATATTTAAAAAAAGGATATGTGGAGAGCCATTATCGCCTATGTCCTGAAGAGTGATGGCATTAAAAAAAGGTTACTTTTGTCTATGTTATTCAAAATCATAAGATTTCTTGCTTTGTGATTTTAAAATTTTTAATTTGATTTTTTGCTTGTTAAAGTCCTTCCCGTATTTATCACCTCCGTTTTCTTCCTGTTTACAGATATTGAAAGAAAGGAAGCTGTAGAGAACCATGAACAACTATATCCTGAAGGAACAAATTAAATGTTACTGTTCTTTAATTAATTTGTTTGTTTTTTAATATATATTTATATTTAACTGATTTTTAATGGGTTTTTTTTAATTTCTCGGACACGTTTTCCTTGTTTAAAAATAGTAAAGAAAAGGATGAGAAAGAAAAGAAGACGCATGATTTACCTTATATAACGAAGAGAGGTGATATTAAAAGAACACGTTAATGTTATATAACATATGCTATTCGAAAATATAATTGCTGCTGTACACTTTTAAAAATATATTATAACAGTTTTGTCTTATATTCACTTTTACAAGCATTTTTTTTTATTTCCTTTGCTTTTTTTTATCCTGTTTCAATGAACTTTTGTGTTGTCTCCCTTATCTCCTTCTGTGGGCATTGATTTCTTGTGTTGATATAAAAACAACGCCTCTTCTATGATAATCATGTCAAGCCTTTCACTCTTTATTCTGATCATTTTCCTCCAAACCTTCACCTCTTATCAACGAACGTTCTATTGTATTTCATCAAGTCCATCGAAAATGGACAAACTTCCGGCTCGGTGCCGGAAGTCATATCGCAACCATATTGTACAATAATACACCGTCGGCAAAAGAAAAGAAAAACAAGAAAGTTGAATTGGGAGGAATAAAAAGGATTTAAAGAAGGAATAAAAGGAACGGATCAATAAAATAAACGGTGTTGGAACTTTTTAAAAAAAGGGAAAGGAAAGGGAAAAGAAAGAAAGGAGATGGGAATAGAGAAAGAAAGGTAGTAGGCTAAAAGGAGAAAAGAGAAAGGGTATAAAGAAGAAGAATCAAGTACAAACAAAACAAAAGAGAGAAAAAATAAAAAAGGCAGAAAACTGAACAACTAAATTAAACAGTCTCTTTTTTGTTGTTTCACCTATTTTTTCTAGGTTCCCTTCATTTTAGCCTTCCCAATTCTCTGAGTCGATCGAAATAATACCTTTACAAAAGTGACAATAGAAAATTAACCATTATTACAATCACTACGACTGTTTCTGCCATCTTTCAGCTCGTAACTGGACATAACAAAAGTAGATTATGTATCTTCGGATTAGAATTATTGATAAAATGAGACCACAACAACCAGAAATACGGCTCGAGAAACTCCTACATAAAGAAACGTATGTCAGGAACATTTTTATTATGAAATTGTTAGGTTGGAAAAATAATTATTCATAAAAAAATAAAGCATGTAATTTTACGATTATGTAAGTCAATCGCTGAGTCAATCCGCCATTTTTATTGCGTACTTACGTGTTAAATCGAGGAAGAATCAATAAATAAGAAAAAGGAATAACATATAATAATAAAAATAACTACAATTTCCTTTTCGTAAGGTATTTATTTATCCATTCATCATTGTTTGATGTCATAGCCCTGGGGATTTCAAACGGTGCGGTGGAAGAGGATAGCAGGTGAGGCGGAATGATTGAAAGATAAAGATTAGAAAGCAGTTTCAAAAACTTCATATGCCCAAAATAAATACAGCTTCAAGATTTTAAAATATTCTTATCGATTACTTGTAATTGCATGTATGGGTTCCAGAATAAATAGTTATAAATAATTATTGACCGATTTTATCATTGTAATATTTTTGCATTATATCAAGTATTAAGAAAATAGTAATTAGGCTCCGTATATTGGAGGAGAGAGTTGTCAATGATTGTAATATTGGAATAATGTGTCGCTGCCAATACTTGCGTTTGAACATAGATCGCCAGTGAGCAAACACAGGCAATCCCATTATTGAATTAAGTAGACCACGTGACCATAGAGGAAATACATATATGGGAGGTAGCGTGACGTCTAAATGATCACAACGTCTGTTTAGTTTCTTGTATATAGTTGTACTCATTTTTAAATACTCATTGGGGCTTTTACATTTTTAATTGTTATTTTTATTCCCCCCTCCCCTACAGGCAATGAATTGTATATATGGGGACTAGTTGGGACTTCATAGAATTTCTGAGGTATTGTGGTGTATGCGTTAAGAATGGTAAGTAAGAATGAGTTGTTTGTATGTTTGGGTCAGTGTTTGCGGTTAGCTAAGTTTAATGTTAAGAGAGAGAACAAGACCATCCTTTTCCCATTCCCCATTTTGGCCTTGTGCCTTATTTGTTCTTTAGTGCAATAAATATTATCTCTACGTCTTTTCTATCCCCTGTTACTATAAAGACTCCTATTCTCTATTCTATTTACTATACTATTTCTCTATTCGGATCACTACACGGGTTACTATTCGAGCGAGTATTATCAGCAAGTACTATTTGTGTGAGTGTTATTCAAAGGCGTCTGACACCAGTATTGTTCAACGGTGTTGCTATAGTTGTATCTATGATTACACAGTCTCTACTACAACGAGCATTACGAAAGTGACAACGAGTATTCGGTGACATTACAAAAGTGGCAACCGAGTGTTCGTCAACAAGAATGATAATGTTCTGATTTCGAATCCGCGGTTATCTCCGTTTAACGCTCTCTGTTTTTTTTGTTTTTTTTAATTTTTAAATGTAGAATTTATCACATAAAATTTTCATTTTGTACCCGAAAAATATATGTATGAGTATAAAAAGTTCAGACAGAATATATCTGTGAAAGGACAATATGAATAAAGACAAAAGGAAAACTTATTTTAGCCGACGCGTTTTGTCTACTGAGGGTCTTTATCAAGGCAAATGCGAAGATTTTTTGTTACATATAATGACATATTTACAGGGTCCGATATTACATTTTTAATTTCGCACGTGCACATTTTTGATTTTGTCGACTGCGCAGTATAGTAGGGTCAGCTGGTCATCGAGCACCATGACGCAATACACTCCGCCAGAAAATTGGAAACGGCATGCTGTACTGCTTGGCATTCGCACCCAAGCTCCAATACGAAGATTTCAAAGTGCTTAGGTGTCAATCTAAGGACAGTACAAAAGATTTGGATAGAGTTGGATGAGTCTAATGGTGATTATGAAGATATTTGGAGTGATCACGAGTGATCATGATGTTATGCTTCCAGTACTGAAGGCAGTAATGAAGACTGCTTCAAGAAGTGAGTTAATCACAAGTCATCACTCAAGCTAGAAACCTAGGAATTGAACCAGAATAGCCAACCAAATTAAAAGTAGAAACAACAAAGGTCTGATTGTAGACAAGAAATATTAACAAGAGTCAAACCTTACAGCAATCAAAACGATAACTAAACAGTGCCAGGAGGAAAAATTAACAATAACATTTCCAGATCCAAAATATCTAATGAATGAAGGAACTGAAATAATTCCACGATGGATACATACTAAAAAGTACTTTTTGAGTTCGTACAAACCAGGAATGAAAGTATGTATATTTTATTTTCTCCAATATAATTTAAATATTCTTGCTTTTATCCTCATCGTTTCTTACATTTCACGTTCTGCGATTATATAAAAATAATAAAGTGTTAGGAAAATCATTTGGCCCATACCGCCCGAAGATACCGGAAGGTTGAAACAAAGCTAGCGTGATTGGGTGATCTCCTAATATTTGAAATTTAAATATATACTATATGTTTATACTAGGGTAATTTTATAAGCACTAATGCAAAGCTCTTCAGTAAAATGAATTGGAGTACTCTGACTGATTGGGGTTAGAATTAGCTATTGCTCTTTGCCGAGTATTGATGGCCTAGTGGTAGAAACTCTGACTGACGCCAAAACGGTCGGGTTTCTGTCCTGGCTTGAGGCATTCGGATGTCTAGTCTCACTGAGGAGCTGTGATACAGCGAAACAGTACTGTCTGCGAAAGACACACACACACACACACACACACACATATTTGTGTATATTTAGGCAGCAGTTTTTCATTGATGCATGCTTCATTAAATAATACAGACAAGTTTTGTCTATTTATTTAAAGTAAGTTCCTTTCATATTGTCTGATAATGTTTAATAACATTATCATTGGAAGACGAAAGGAAATCACCATATTTATACGTGTTTAAATCCTATCTAAGCTTTCGCCTTACATAAGCCATTATCAAAGACGGCAAATACATTTCAATATATCAAACAATACACGGTTGCATGAAAAGTTTCAAAGCAACCACAAACTCCTGTTTACTTAAAATAAATAGACAAAACTTGTCTATATTATTTAATGAAACATGCATCAATATATGTGTGTGTGTATGTGTGTGTGTGTGTGTGTGTGTATCTGTATACATACATATATATGATGTGATCCCTGAATTGCCATGAAGTGTCAACCTGGCCATGTACCCAATGCAATCGGATATGTCTGTCCAGTCACCAGAAATCACACCAGCACCAAGAGTCTATTGCATATGATGATTTCATAATGGCATGATTTGAATGCCCTACCGGCATTAGAGTGTGCAAGTCGCGGACGGGCTTGACAAGGCATATAAAAAGACACACTAGAAGCAATGATGTTCAAATTCAACTTCCATTTGACATGGCATATATGTAAGAAGAAATGCAGATCGATGGCTGGTTTTATGAACCACTGTCGTTCACACAACAAATCAATGCCGTGCCGTGGGGGGAGCTTGGCTGATGGACTGGACATATCAGTGATGGTTATATTATTCGCTTTGTGAGTCTACAGCCACTATAACTATATATATATATATATATATATATATATGCAAGCAAATATATGGATGTAGATCCGACAGTATGAAGAAAAATATACGGAAAAAACAAACAAAAATCCTTATATACAATTATGCTGTTTTAATGTTAATATATCAACGTCGGACGTTTCGGTCTAATAAACCATCTTCAGGACATAATGTTAATTATATTTTATGAATATGTCAGAAGATGGTTTATATATATATATATATATACATATATATATATATATACGACATTATATATATATATATATATATATACATATACAATTATATATACACACATTTATATATATATATATATATATAGAACTATAATGCATTATATATATATATACATTATTTTAATTTATATATATTATATATAAAAAATAAAATTATATATATATTTAGCTTCTATTTTTAAAAATATGGTTATTTTGGAACTGTTTCAAAAATAAAAAAATAATTTTATTTTTTAAATCAATTAATTTCATCTTATTAATGCTTGAAGATGAAATAAATTTATTTGCAAATTGAGCACTATTTTGTTGAAAAAATAAAATATCTATAAGAACACCGGATTTTATATCTTATTTTGTAAAATAAAATATCTTTCTTTTTTTATGTTCTTTCTTTTTTATATATATATATATATATATATATATATATATATATATATATATATATACAGATATGCATTGATTTGAAGAAGTTCACATCACTATAGTACTAAATACTGTATGTTGAACTGCAGTTGGAGATTCGTCTCTAGCTGTGCTAGTCAAACTCTCCGCCTTCGAACAGAGAGAATCCCCAGACGAGGCTATGTCGAAACAGCTACCTGACGCCGTTTTACACGGGCTCTACAGGGAATTTTTGGCCGAGCCTACAGGTTCGGATACACCACATTAATTTCACGGTTTTCCCATTTTTCATTTCCAATGAATCTTACTTCTTCAGTTAATGATTGAATAAGTTCATATCGAGTTCTACGGCAATAAAATATTCGTAGACATTTCCTTATTGCATCGTTAATTATTTGAGCTGAACAACTTTAACAAAATATTGCAATAACAATCATAAATATGAATGCTGGTCGTTATTTTAAGAAGTAAGGGGGTACAAATGAAAAGATTTGAAATTGATAACTTTTTCCATTTCACTGAACACTTCTATCTTCCCTTCTTATTTTTATTTTCTGACAGAAATCAAGTAGCGTTTTTTGCTGTCTTTTGTTTTCTCACGCGATCAAAACGGAATAGTCCATTATTTATGAGATATTTATAAGAAGGATACGTTAAACACTACTTTTTTATTTCTTTTCTTTTTTCACTGAAACCAAGTAGCGTTTCTGATATGACTTGTCTTTCCACGCAATAAAAACGGAATAGTCTATTATTTATGAGGTTTTGGCAGGGTGTAACGGTCGTGCGAACTTACGCATGGAGAGACAGGCACAATTATTATAGGAGGAGGAGGAAAGAGCTATAACACTCAGTCGGCATTTGAAATTTGCTGAAAAACAGTTTTAATAAAAGGATTTTTTAAAACTTTCAGCCGATCGTAATACTAACTGATTGAACCATGAGGACCGAATTTTCCTGGATGGAAAAGGTTAATTTTACTATTACCCTTACCATTATTATTTGTGAATAACCATGGCGACTTGGGAAAGATCGTGGAATAGTTTCCTGTTGCCTTCTCTACAATTTTAAATTCAGAGTAGTCTTTCTCTTGCACTAACTGTCACCCAAGGCTTGAAATTTCAGTCAATCCTACTATTTAACGCCGTTAAACTCGTTGCGGGTAGAATGGTATTAGTACGAAAATAAACGCTATCAATTCGGTTAGAATTTGAACTTAGTTCTCCGATTCCATTTTCCTGGCCGATATCCGTTACATTATATGCATATCCCTCATTGTTTATCATAGCAGAAAACCAAGAAAGAAACAAAAATGTATGAACGGCTTTTTTTAGAAGTTAAAACTCTAAATGTTTGTGTGTATGTTTATTCATACGCTGGGTAGGTTCTTGCAAAGCCTAGCCATTATCATTACTGACAGTCAAATAATCCTTTTTGCATCGCCCAAATATTTCAACAGGAGCGATTCTCTGGCCTTCTGTGTCTACCTTTAATTACTAGTTTTGTCATTAATCAACAGCATCAAGTCACACTAAACCTAGCACCGACTCCACATATCTCCTAAGTGCCATGTCATTTCTGTTGCCCTCAAAGATGGACATCGTTTGCTTTTACCAAATAAAAATGTCTGACCTTCCTCTCTTCTGCCAATAATTCAGTGAAGTGTTGAAGAAAGACGTAAGAAGAGACGGTGTGGTAGGGAATTAAAAAAAAAGAAAGATAAAAAATAAAAGGGAACTAAAGACTATGGAAGGGGTTAGAAAAGAATGGGATACTACAGAGAGGTGGAGGAAGTGAGAATGCGGGGGGGGGACAAGGAAAAGGGGAGAAGAGAATGAATGAAAAAAACACCAGACAAAAAGTGCGGAGGAGAGAAGAGGATAAAGGGGAGAAGAAAACGGAATGAGAATAAACAAACCGAAAAAGGTTTGTAATAAAGGAAATATTTTTTTAAAAATTCCACTCACCCCATGCAAGGCAGTAAAGCCACTAAGACGCAAGGTGTTACAGGGTGTGGAAGAATTAGGAACATTAATAATAAGCGGGAAAAAGAAAGAGTAATCAGGAGGACAGTAGATAGCGACTGACATTGCATTTAAATTTTTGGCAGATTAAAGTTGGCTGGAAAGCATGGAACCAGAATGGAGTTCCACAAGCGAGAAATGCGAGAAATTAAACTGTTAGCATAGAATTTATAGTTACATCTAACCAGTTCAACTGTAAATTCATGAGATCTCGACGTCAGTTTAGTCTTTCTATGTGCTGTATCCTTCAAGGACTTAGGCGACCATGGCTCTCCACCTCTTTCTATCCCTTTTAGCTCTCAACAAGTTCCTTCCCGCTGCCACCTTCCACAGACTTCGTCCTGTTATCCACTTGCTTAAGGCCGCTAGGTATGTCATGCGTTTTTTCTCTTGTCTCTCTTTCCCGCTATTCGACCTATGAGTATCAGATTCTCCAGGCCCTCCTTCCTCATTATGTGTTCCAGGAACTTCAGCTGCCTCTTTCTGATGTTAAGTATAAGTCTCCTCCCTGTTTGCATCCTCTCTAAGACCTCATCGTTGCTCAGACGCTCGGTCCATGAAATCCATAGCATATTTCTGTAGAACCAAATGTCTGTTGCCTCGAATCACTTCTTCATCTTTGACATTCGCTGCCGTAAAGAAGGGCAGATGTCACGTAACAGGACAGTATTCTTTTCTTCGTTACCCAAGAAATCCTCCTGTCTCGCAACGCTCTGCCCAGCTTTTGGAATTCGTCCTTAGCCATTTCAAAACGTCTACGGATCTCAGTGTCGCATTTACGCTTCCCAGTTATTTAAACTTCCGAGTCTGCTGAACTAGTTCTCTATGTGCATGCATGTTGTTTGCTACCAATATAGGTTCTTGATTATTCTGATATCTTTCCCGAATATATCAAGGTTGCTGAGCAGTTCCAGCAGATCCTTGTGGCGTACTTTGTCGAAGGCATTTGCATAGTCTATGAAACATAGATACACGTCCTTCTGCATTTGTGTCGCTCATTCTGAGCATGAATATTGCGTTCCTTGTTCCGGTGTCTTTAACGAACCCGCACTGTTGTCGTCCTATCTCTGGCCTGATTCGACTGCGCGCACTGTTCATCCGAATACGGATGATGAGTTTTGTCACGTGGCTCATTAGGTTTATTGTTCGGTGGAGTTCGCATTTGTTTCCGCCTAGTATAACAGTAATGCGCTTAAATTCATAAAGTCTAGATACCATAGCGAAGAGCTCATCTGAACCATGAAAATATTTATAGAAAAGACACACGGAGGCAACTTTACGACGGTTGGAAAGTTACTGAAGCCGAGACGCCAGATCAGGACCGTTAATATTGCTGATTTTTCTTTGGATTTTTTCAAGGCGCTCAAGGTAAATAGCAAGGGTACCGGCCCATATGTGACAGCAATATTCTAAGCATGGACGAATGGTAGAGTTATGGATATGTATGATATATTCTGGAGAGACAAATTGTCTTGCCCGGCACAGTGAACCAACTTTCTTAGCCGCTGGCCTAGCAATGGATTCAATATAATCGTTTCACTTGATGCCAGCTGAGAACATTAACCCGAGAAGGTGGAATGAATCACTTTCTATGGGTTAGAATCATCCATGCTGATGGAAGGTAGAGAAAGCTCTCTCAGATGATTAATGCAGAGGTTCAGTTTAAAAGTAACAACCCAGTATTTGCTCCATTTAACGACAGGCTTAAGTTTGTTTTGGACATCGGCTGCAATTTTTGACTTTGTCAAACTGATCAGCTTTACTATCAAGGCTGAAGTAAATGGTTATGTCATCATCAGCGTAGATACCAAGTTGAGAGCTGATGTCACCGAGATGGTCATTAATGAAAATTAAAAACAAAAAATAGGACCAAGGTTGGAGCTTTGGGAGACGAACAGATGTAGACGAGTGGCCGTTCAGAATAACATTCATTCCTCTAGGAGTTTCCCAAAAAGATGTAGAAGACGATCAGGAAAATATTTAAGAAGGAAAAATAACTTTCCCTCGGATTCTCCCAAGATCTGCCATCCGTCAATTATACCTGCTATGTATCGATTCTTTCCAACTAGGGAAATACTTTTTTCTCCAGTTTACGACAATGTCACTTCGAAACTTCGGTTTCCGTGGTATCACTGAAGTTAAGCAACGTCGAGCCTGATCAGTACCTAGATGGGTGACCACTTGAACTACCAGTTAGCTTGGATGTGCGGGGGGGGATATAATGGATAACGATTCGGGTTGTTAATCGGAGAGCCGATTTCGAAATCAAGTCAGGTTAATTGGATTCATTTACGCTCAAATACCCTTGGGAAAGGTATGAATCCATCTCTTCTCCCCCCAGACATGGGTTAATTAGTAAGACATGTATCACTAAATCATTGTTATCTCCCTCAAAATTCTCATAATATAAAAATATTTTCTGGCTTTAAATAACCTTCAAAAGGTTGAGAAGTCGTAAAAAACAGATTAATCAAAAATAAAACCTTTTTTCTCCGGCCATCATTCATACCTTGTTGTTTTGAACTACAGTGTAACCCGGATATAAGAGACCTGGATATAAGAGAAACCCGGATATAAGAGAGATTTTCTCTGGTCCCAAATTAGAGCCCATACTTACCGAAACAAAATAGACCAAACCCGGATATAAGAGAAACCCGGATATAAGAGACGTCTTCTCCGGCCCCGACAACTCTCTTATATCCGGGTTACACTGTACATTATCACAGGCTCTAATTTGGGACCAGAGAAAATCTCTCTTATATCCGGGTTTCTCTTATATCCGGGTCTCCTATATCCGGGTTACACTGTATATCTTTTCATTTCTTTCTTCGTTATTTTACCCGGAATAAATGATTGATAAGAAAAATTTTTGAATGAAATATCGGAAACTTAAAGAAATTATAATCAGTTGACTAAAGTTGATTTAGAAGAACCAAAGAAATTAAAAATGAAAATGAAAAAAGAAAAAAATTGGAATGAAACAAAGAAAGTTTGACCATGACTGAAAAAAAAAAGAAGTTGAGGAAAGTAAAACAAATAAAATGGAACATGAAAGAAAAAGGAAGAAATGAAAAGAATGAATATTAAAGAGAAAAATTGTAATGAAAGAAGGTAGTTTGGACCGAATCTGAAACTACGGTATCAATTTGAAAACAGTGAAGGGAAATGAAACGAAAGAATGAAGCTTGAAAAAGAAAAAAGGAATGAAAACGTAAAGTTTAAAGAGGGACAGAAAAATTGTAATGAAAGAAGGTAGTTTGGATCGAATCTGAAACTACGGTATCAATTTGAAACAGTGAAGGAAAATGAAACGAAAGAATGAAGCTTGAAAAAGAAAAAGGAATGAAAACGTAAAGTTTAAAGAGAGACAGAAAAATTGGAATGAAAGATGGAAGTCTTGAGCGTGTATGAAAAGAATGAATAAATCTGAAGTATAGTAAAAGAAAATTAAATGAAAAGGGTTGAAAGCGAAAAAGAAAAAAAGAAATGAAAGAATAAAGATTTAAGCGAAAAAAAAATGAAATAAAGAATGAATATTTTAGCCTATAAAAAAAGAAATTAAGTTTAGAATGGTAAAAGAAAATGAAAGAGTGAAACTTCAAAAAGGAAGAGAAAAATACAAGAGTGAAGTTTCAAACGAAAAAGAAAAGAAGAAATGAAAGAATTAATATTAAATTGAAAAAGAAAAAAAATAGAATGAAAAAAAGGAAGTTTTGAAGTGTACGAAAATAAAAGAAGGAATTTAGTACACAAGTGAAAAAAGAAGAAAGAAATCAAAGAAAGAATAAACGTTTGAGTGTTTATGAGAAGAATGAGGTTGAGACCGTTACTAAAAAAGAACGAAAAAATGAAGCTGGAATACGAAAAAGAAAAGAAGGAATAACATGAAGAAAAAGAGTGAGAGAATAATAGGCGAAATTGAGAAAGCAAAAAGAGTGAAAGAAATATATTGAAGAGAAAACAGGAAAGGGTGAAATATGAAAGTCTGAGAACGTAAACGAAAAAAGGAGAGATAGATTAAAAACAAGAAAGTAGGTAAGGAATAAATGCTGAAGTAGTAGAAAAATAGTTTTCCCAACTCGAAAATGTCGCCAGAATTTGGGTAGGGTCGGAGTATAGAATAGCCCCATGACAGCCATTTCTAGTTTACAGATTTCTGTCGTCTATCATTCTTCGTTTAGACGCTGTCGACCAGATTATTTAGATTAGTGGTTCTCAAAATTTTTGAAGTCGGGACACACTTGAAATCCTACCAATAATTGTAAGCGCACTAGTTCGTCTCGAAAAAGACCTCCAATCGGTTGTGAACTGGGGCAGTAACTGGCTGGTTAACTTTAACGCCTCAAAAACAAAACTGCTCTCTATTAATCACCACAAAGATCCCCCCCATTAGATTGTCTGACGCTCAACTTCTCGAGAGCACCTCTCTGCGGCTGCTCGGTCTCACGTTGACTGCTGACCTGAGATGGAACAAATACATTGAGTCAATTGCTTCCTCCACCGCAAGGAAAGTTGGCTCCCTGTTCCGCGCCAGGAAATGTTTCTCCCCGGAATCGATCCTCCAGATCTACAAATCAACCATTCGCCCTTGCATAGAGTATTGCTGCCATATATGGTCTGGAGTCCCTTCTGTTTGCCTCGGGGTTCTTGATAAGATACAGAGATGGATATGCAATATAATTGGCCCTGATCTGGCATCTCGTCTGCAGTCGCTCTCTCACAGACGCACCGTCGCCTCTCTCTGTCTTTCATGGTAATTGCTCCGATGAGCTGCTTTCGCTAGTTCCCAGACTTCGCGAATTCAAGCGTCCTACGAGGCTGGAATCCCGCTCTCTACATATCACTGCTGAAACTGTTAAATATAGCCGCCTCTTCTACTCTAATAGTTTCATATCTCGCACCTCTCACCTGTGGAACTCTCTTCCCTATTCCTGTTTCCCTGATAGCTATAATCTCCAACTATTCAAATGTAATGTCAATCGACATCTCCACTTACCTTGATCTATCCACTATCCTTCTTCTCATCCTTTCCTCTATCATTCCTATCTGCTCTCGCTCCAAATCCTCTATAACTCCTTGCGTGCTAGTGGCTTCCCGCCTTGCTAGCAGTGAAATGCTTAAAAAAAAATACAAATTTCGCAAGAATATGTTATAATGATTCAAATATTGCCGCAAAGAAATAATGCAATAAAAAAATATAAAATGAAACATTTTTGCGCAACTAGACATCTTCCAGGTTGCACCAGTGCGTCCAGGCGTACCATTTGAGAACCACTAGTTTAGATATAGGATCTTTGTCAGCCGCGAATGACTTCTTCTTCTTCTTCTTCTTCTTCTTCTTCTTCTTCTTCTTCTTCTTCTTCTTCTTCCGTGTCTCTGCAAGATGTTGGCGATCATGATTCTCCACAATTTCCTGTCCCACGTAGATCTTAAAACATTTTAATCTTTTTGTCATCACTTCTATTCCCTGCTACGTCATTTATTCACACAAGCCCGCCAGGTAGGTTGCTATACCACCTAGCTTCAATCTGTCCTGTGAGTATCAGATTTTCCAAGCCCTCTTTCCTCATTATGTAGGTTATGCGTTGTTCCTCTTGCCTTCAATATGTCCTGTGAGTATCAGATTTTCCAAGCCCCTTGTCCTTATTATGTAGGTTATGCGTTGTTCTCCTCTGTCCTTCTTGCTTTCAATCTGTCTTGTGAGTATCAGATTTTCCAAGCCCTCTTTCCCCATTATGTAGGTTATGCGTTTTTCTCCTCTGTCCCTCTTGCTTTCAATCTGTCCTGTGGGTATCAGATTTTCCAAGCCCCCTTTCCTCATTATGTAGGTTATGCGTTGTTCTCCTCTGTCCTTCATGCCTTCAATCTGTCCTGTGAGTGTCAGATTTTTCAAGTCCCCCTTTCTCATTATTTCAACTGTCTCGTCCTGATGTTAGTTATAAGTGTCCTTTTTGTTGCCATTGTCTCTAGAATTTCGTTGTTGCTCACATATTCTGTTCATAGTATTCTCAGCATCCTTCTGTAGAACCACATTGTTGCTTCTTCATCTGCGAGATAGTCCAACATTTTCTGTCATATAGGAAGACTGATACTATACAAGAGTTCAGTAATCTTTTCTTTGTTTCTAACGATATTTTTTGTTTCTTAATACTTTGCTTAGATTTTAGAATTTTTATTTTTAATCGGAAGAAAAGCCACTAAAACAAGAAAGACGCTGATCAGATTTGAAATATATTTTCAAAATAAAATCATACATTGAGGATTTAAACGGATTTGGGTTTACTCAGAGAACATACCTCGGAAGAACAAGTGCCACTTTGTTTATTTCTCGTCTCGTTGAATTAGAACACAGGCTTTTCCGGAAATTTCTCTTTAAAATCTTTCTCTTCTTGCTTCAATTTAGACAAAATAAATATGACCAATCTTATTGCCAATATTGTTATCATTTTATTGGATATTTATTCCTCAATTTTTATTAAACTACCTACAAAATCTGCTTTAATCGATATCACACCATTCAAGGGAGTAAAGCCACTAAGACACAGGGCGTTATAGGGTGTGGAAGAACTAGGAACAGAAACATTAATAATGAGCGGGAAGAAGAAAGAGGAATCATGGCGACAGTAGATAGCAATTGACGTTGCATTTAATTTTTTTCAGATTAAAGTTGACTGGAATGCATGGAGCTGGAAGTAGTTTTCACAAGTGCGAGAAGTGCGAGAAAGGAAACTGTTAGCATAGAACTTACGACTATATCTAGACAGCCCAACTGTAAAGTGATGAGATCTCGACGCCTGTCACGTACGGCGCTGAAATTCATAAAGTGAATGTATCGTTCGCTAATTCAATGCGTTTTTCGGATTTCTGTGACGCACTTTCCGTCCTCTGTTAGTACGTTCCCCAGGTATGTATCTTGTCGCGCCTGTTTGATGTTGCAGTCTCCCTTTCACCTACCGCTTCATAATCGACATACAGTGCTGTTCGATAAAAGTGACTCACCTGATTTTTTTTACTAAATGTTCTCTTCTCCGATGAAACGAAAGTTGAGCTAAATTCAAAGGATAAGCGATCTAAAATCCGAAGAAGAAGCTTTGAAAGCTCTTTGAATTTAGCAGTAAGTACTGTCAAGGATCCGTTCAGTATAATGTTCTGGGGATGCTTTTCTTTTCATGGAACTGATTCTTAAAACCTATTGAAAAAACCCTCAAGAACGAGCAGTACAAAAGAATTTTAGAGTCTTGTTTGCTCCCTTCTGCTGAAAGGGTGCAAATCAACCCCACCAAGCTCATTTTTATGCAGGATAAAGCTCCCTGTCGCAAATAAAAATTGATGAAGGAATACTTTGATGAGAAGCAGGTGAATGTTATGACATGGCCGCCCCAATCTCCTGACCTCAACCCCATAGAAAACTTATGGAGCATGTTACTCAACTACTTTCTCGAGAGCTTGTACTTTATAATGCTTATATTATTAATATTTCAACTTAATTATTTCACCTCGAGCAAGACTATAATGGCACTAGGAGGCAAGGGGTTCGAGGGATGGGATGAGAAAGAGATAACCTTAAAGAGGAAAAAGGACAATAAAAGAACAGAGTTCAGAGTGACAGAAGATGGCGATTGACGTTGCATTTAAATTTTTAATCATCGTCGTTGTCAAGGAAGCAAGAAATTGGAAAGTAGTTCTAAAGGAAGCAAGAAATTGGAAAGTAGTTCTAAAGGCCAGAAGTGCCTATTAGAGACTATTAAAATAGAACAGCCGGTTACATCTAGCTAGTTCAACAGTAAAACCGGTGAGACCTAAATGCCAATCCAGTAACACGCTTAAATTCATGCGGTCGAGTTATCAAGGAGGAGAACTTATCAGAACATCATTTTTCCTAGATCTCATTGTTTGTTTCGTTCTCTTTCCATGATACACAGGCTGTAGCCATAAGCGTCCTCGTATCGCCAAACCTATTATTCCTCTCTGTTAAAGGTAGATTTCAGAACCGAAGAGCTGTACGCTTTCTACTGTGGCCTCAAAGAAAATATTCAATGTTCAGTATCTGGCTTTTTTTAAGATAGAAAATATGTGCTGCCCGTGAAGTTCATCACGCATAAATCGCTCGCTTAACATAGTAAGACAATGTAAAATTCTGGACAGAATGGTCAACAGTTTGTACCATTTAAAATTACTATACAATTATCTTGTGAAAAAAAAGACATTTTTAGGATAAAATATGTGTGCTGCTCATGGAGTTTATCTTGCATAATCACCGGTTTAACGTAGTCAGCTAATTTAAAACATTACTTGACCCAAGATGATAAGAGATTTCGTCAGTAGAAAACACAAAGGTTTCTGTTGTACTGTATTTTCAACATTACATAAACTTATGAAAAGCAAATGAAAAAAAGCCAGTTTAAACGAATAATAATGATAGCAACAAGGGCAACAACAATAATGTTCATAAATAGCAATTATAAACCTCATCAGTCATTTTTACCTATTTTCTAAGAAGCATAGTCCGTCACATGCTCGCGAGAAGATCGAACGTTGGAAGAAAATCCTCGAAAACACATACCCTCCACGCTCGAAATTAATTTGATGAGTTCAGAAGTGAATAAAATATTTAATTCATAGTCAAGGTACCATGGATGAAAGTAATATTTATTTGACAATATAAAAATATGGCACAAGGCCAAAAGGGGGTGGGGAAAGCTAGTCTTCAATCTTTCTTATCTTAAACCGAATCATACCAGATTATTTCTTACAGTAAAATAATACATTCTTACTTACCATTCTTACTATAGCCACCATAATACATCAAAGTTTTTTTAGTCCTAATTAGTTCTCATATGTAATTTTTTACTTGTTTAAATAATGACCACTAAATGTGACTATTGAATCTCAGTCTTCCAATCCATATTGATACCGTCACATTTTACAGTTATTCCGTAGATCTCATTGTTTCGGGCTCTTTCGATGATACACAAGCTGTAGCCATGAGCGTCTTCGTATTGTCAAACCTATTACTCATCTCTGTTAAAGGTCAGATTTCAGAGCCAAAGAGAAGCACCCTCATCTCGCTATAATCCCATGGGTACTTTATAAGACATTAGGTTGGTTGGGTGGTTGATTGGGTTATAGGGCATATCAACCATTTAATACCAAATTTAATTTGAATCTAGTTTATCGTCATACCAAAGACGTGTACGTAGTTTATCGCCATACCCAGGACGTGGATGTAGTTTATCACCATACCCAGGACGTGAATGTAGTTTATTGTCATACCCAAGACGTGGATGTAGCTTATCGTCATACGCAGGACGTGGATCTAGTTTATCGTCATACCCAGGACACGGATGTAGTTTATCGTCATACCCAGGACGTGGATGTAGTTTATCGCCATACCCAGGACATGGATGTAGTTTATCACTATAACCTGGACGTGGATGTAGTTTATCGACATACCCAGGACGTGGATCTAGTTTATCGACATACCCAGGACGTGGATCTAGTTTATCGTCATACCCATGATACGGATGTAGTTTATCGCCATACCCAGGACGTGGATCTAGTTTATCGTCATAACCATAACACGGATGTAGTTTATCGTCATACCCAAGACGCGGATGTAGTTTATCATCATACCCAGGACGTGGATCCAGCTTATCGTCATACACATGACACGGATGTAGTTTATCACTATACCCAGGATGTGGATGTATTTTATCGACATACCCACGACGTGGATCTAGTTTATCGTCATACCCAGGACACGGATGTAATTTATCGCCATACCCAGGATGCGTATGTAGTTTATCGCCATACCCAGGACGCTGATGTCGTTTATCGTCATACCCAGGACGTGGATCTAGTTTATCGCCATACTCAGGATGAGGATATCATCATACCCAGGACGTGGATATCACCATACCCAAGACGCGGATGTAGTTTATCGTCATACCCAGGACGTGGATCCAGTTTATCGTCATATCCATGACACGGATGTAGTTTATCGTCATACCCAGGACGTGGATGTAGTTTATCACTATACCCAGGATGTGGATGTATTTTATCGACATACCCAGGACGTGGATCTAGTTTATCGTCATACCCCGGACACGGATGTAGTTTATCGTCATACCCAGAACGTGGATGTAGTTTATCACTATACCCATTACGTGGATTTAGTTTATCGCCATACCCAGAATGCGGATGTAGTTTATCGACATACCCAGGACGCTGATTTCGTTTATCGTCAAACCCAGGACATGGATCTAGTTTATCGCCATACCCAGGATGTGGATATCATCATACCCAGGACGTGGATATCACCATACCCAGGACGCGGATGTAGTTTATCATCATACCCAGGACGTGGATGTAGTTTATCGTCATAC